CCTCAAATGAATACTATCACTAGTAAACCAGCTTATTTAACCATCATATGTAGGTGATGTTTTTGTGTTGTTATTGATTAATTGTTTGCTCATTATTATGTCATGTTCATCTCCTGCATATCGATTGAAATAGATGTATGTTCGTGAACATTTCAGCAACCAGAATGACTTTATTCTAATGCTTCTCTCTTTAAACTCGTTCATACTTCTTCAGTGAAAAACAGGGTTTGATAGACATGATTTCATTTCAAAAATCCGTCTGTGGCCCAACGTCTATCGAAATATTTATCCATGTTTTAACTAGAGTTTGCGTAATTAAACAGTTTGTTATAAATGTATGATAAATATTAGTTCATTTATACGTAATGGATAATGTTCCTGAAAGTTTCTCAAAATTACTATTCAGAGATAGCCTTAAATGACGATGAATATTTTTAGCTGAGTTGTAACATGTGTAATAAGCAGTCACTGAATAGCGGAGAAGACCTGAGAGCACATCACATAATGTTAATCAAGAACTTCACACCAAGAGAGAACTCGGAGTGGTAGCCACAGGTCTTTTATGTGAGAATTAAATTTCACTGGTTCTGTACAGAAGGAATGGCTTGTTTATAAAATAGTCTTATGAGCCATTTTCCAAGTTCAGAGCATGCATGGCTTGCTCTTCTCCTTCCAACACGTGTATCTTTGATCACCCTGCAATAGAAAGAAAGCACAATTTTTTTTAACAACTTCATACATAGTGATTTCAACACTGTTACACCGACCCCTCTTCTAATGGGGGACTTTCCTCAGTGCCTGGTCTCGGGGATGGATTCGCTGCCCCTCTTTCCGATAGTGTTTCGTAAAAGCTAGTGGCAGGTAGTGGATCAGCGAACCGAGCATCAGAAGGAACTGTCATCCAGTCTGGTTTTAATTAGTTGTAGTGCACAGTTATCAGGTCATCCTGAGGTCGTTGCAGGCTACTTAATACAAACCTAGTGGGGGATCGCTTGAGGGCAGTTCCGAAGGGTCCTTGCCAGAGCTGGTGGCATTTACTACTAGCAAGTCCTTAACGATGTAGTGGGTCGGCGTAGCCAAACGCGATCCACAACTATAGACACCAGTTCGTGCACCTGACGGTCGGCGGTGCGTATCAGCCAGGGAGAGTACGTATGTACGGTACATGTTCTTGTTCAAGGGTGACTGTATCCCCTCCACTATGCGCAATTCGTGTCCGAACAGTAATATAGCAAAATTCAGTTTTATCTTCATGTATAAATGGCCACGAAAACCACCGGAAAACAGCTTATTCAGTCCTTGGTTCTCCTGCATGACCAAGTTCGCAATGCATCTCCTCCACAATACGCTGAACTTTTATTCACGGTACTATCAGCAGGGGTTGTCTCAACTCATTATTAAGAAATAACATGTTACCATATGATTTTATGTTATTTCATTTGATGCAAGTACGATGAGTTGTTAAGGATGACCTATTGTTTCATTGTTACTATCTTTGGTAAACAGTCTGCAGGTCCGGGTCTGCTGCTTGCAGAGAAGGCCAGTTGGTCTCCAAGGCTGTACTAAGAGTTGCATTAACGGTATTTAGAAGCTGAAGTATATGAGACCGAGCATCCGCGTTTGTAAGTCGGCTTCCCGGTCGATACTCGCATTTAAAATCAAACTCTTGTAACTGTTCCTGCCGGCGTGCCACTTGTCCTTCTGGTTATCGGGAAAAACGAAGCTATTGGAGTGCACGATGGTCTGTGCACACACAGAGGGTCGACCCAGTAGATAATGACGAAAATGTTGTAAGAATTCTATCAATGCTAGCATCTCTTGGCGTGTTATTGAATACCATACTTCGCTCTTATCTAATCGTCGACTAGCGTAAGCGATGACCCTCTCTTGTCCATCTCGAGCTACTTGTGATAGAACTGCTCCGATAGCCGAGGGACTAACATCCGTACCAAATATTTATATATTTGCCTCCATCTGCTGAAGTATCCAGGAAAGCTAATATGGGTGGGCAGGTTAATCGTGCCTTCTAAGCAATAGAAAGTAAACAGAATCTATTAACAACCACATATATAGTAATTTCAACACTGTTACAGAGTTTCAGAACTGTGCGAGCGAGCATAATGGTTTTTTAATCTGACTAGATGAAGGTTTAACTTAAATTGACATAAACCACATTTCGATCATTCTATTTATTCCCTCAATTTTTCTATATATATACTAATGTTGTCTAGAAATCAACGTGTGACAGTTCAAAATGAAACCGATCTCTAGATAACCTAATTTATTTATCTAAGTTATCATTCTATTTAACCGAAAAAAATGTCGTATAAAATGTAAGCAAAAAAATATAATCTCTGCTTTCGTTTTAATTATACCTTTTTTTATGATTTCAAAACTTCATTCAACGAAAGAGATTTCTAATTTCAAACCAATTTTAAACTAATAATTCTAATTAGTAGTAAACTACTATTGTATTTTTATCCACTGGTTAAAGTCGGTAATTGTTTCGAAAAGAGAAAAAAAGTAAGCTAAAAAGCTAATTAATCCATTTCTCAAATTGTGAATAGAACAGAATTTCAATATTCAATACTGTTTAGTCAGATAAACAAATCTATGAATATTGTGAAATGAATAAGTGCTATTATTCAAAATTTAAGTACTAATTACAAATGGAGTGTCGCATTATTATTGTTGCGAGTAAAAAAATAATAAAATGAAAATTCATCTATGATGAATTGTGTATTTTTCCTTAAATTCACTGAATAATGCTGTGGTGCGCGCTACTTATAAGTAGTGTATGACGCGAGTGAAAACGTAATGTCTGGCAGCAGAAGATGGGGGAAGATCAAGAAAGGAAGAGTGGGAGCACAATGCGATTTGTATGAAACGCATGAATAGTGAAATGTCAGACAATGGATTGATGTTTGCAACAGGAATAGTCCAGTTCGATATGATGGATTGATATTTTGCAAATTAACGATTTACGATATGGTTTTTCTATTTTACCACTTATCTCTGTAATTTGCGATAAATATAATTCGGTTGCCCTCACCTGTGTTCTCCTTTACTACAATGCTACAACTTTCTATTATTTAGTCTCCTACAATTGGGGGATAAACTAGAATGTTTACTGAATCAATGTTACCGAGAGAAGTGGATAAGCTTAGGTTACAATCCATAAATAATTTAGGGTACATTTTATTGTAATTTGACATTTAATAAGTTCCCATACTGATGATTCGATGTCTCACAATATACAGAACAGTAAAATTAACCATATATAACTTTTCTATGCATGGGAGAACCATTTTTAGTTGGAACAAGTTGAAATGTGAAAATAGAAAGGCCAGTTGTTATTCACTTTAATCGTTTAAATCATATAAATAAGCTTAGATAGGTCACCCCTGTTTTCGCAAATATTGGATATATTTGAAGTAGGACTTTGTTTGATTTACCGCCATTTACATGATGTATATATTTATATTTCAATGTGTGCGTGTTAGTTTGGATTAGTCAACTGCATGTGTATATAGTCTTGAAAGAATTCACATTCTTAGTAAGGTTAGAATCTATGGCATCAGTGCAGGGTGCAGGATAGATCACTTTCTCTACCTGAACATCTAAGAACGAACATGGTGTACCTAAACGTTAAGTTGTTTTGATTACATTGCAACTTTGCTGTTACATTTTAATTAGCAGTAATTAATCTGAAGCGAAGACATGAAAAATATGATCTCGTCACTTTATAGTAAGATATTCATTTAAAGAATACAATGACTTCAATTGAATGATAAAATACCTATTCCTTGATAGTCAATACTTGCACATTTGAAATCATCAGTCAATCATTGTTAAACCAACATTAGAAACCTGGAAGCACTGAAAGACGACCGTTTCGTCTTGGTTTGGGACTCATCAGCAGTGCGCATCCAAGACTCCTGCACCCCGCAAGATTCGAACCCTTGACTCTCGGCATTGTGCACGAACGCCTAACCATCGGACCACTGGGTCGGCATCCGATGGTGTTAATGTCTAACTCTGATTGATCTAAGGAATTAGCACGACCTCACCCATTTGTCTTTGGTAGTTATTGCCTGCACCCGACACGGTTGAACTCCATTGGTCACGTCTTCTCACTAGAACCCTGAGATTTTCCTCACGAAGATAGTCACTAGACAACATCGACGGGGAGTTTCCAGTTAGAGCTTTGGAGATTTGTGTTTCTACACAATACCGAAGGTCCCGGGTTCGAATCCTGTGAGGTGCAGGAGTCGTGGATGCGCACTGCCACTGATGAGTCCCATACCAGGACGAAACGGCCGTCTTTCAGTGCTTCCAGGTTTCTAATAGTGATCTAACAATGATTGATTGGTGATTGCAAATGTGTAAAAACACAGATCTCCAAAGATCTAACTGAAAACTAATACTTAACCTGTAACTAAGTTTTATAAAATTAAATTTTGTTTTTGGAACACTGCATTTAGTATGTCTACGTTAACTACTTGGTATTTTCTATACTTATTCATTATCATCCTTTATGCCCAAAATTCTAGTTCCTCCATCGGGTTTAACAATGGTCCATTTACAAGATAATCAACTCGATAGTCATCGACAGATTCCAGTCACAGTCAATTCTATGTATATACTACCGAATACACATTTCTATAATTATGTAAGTGATCATGGAGTTAACCAGCATGTATACACAACTGAAGAGTTGAGTCATGTGATCGATAGCGATTTCAGTCGCATTGTAGCGGATGATCCTAAAACTGAACCACATATTGGCTATAATCGTAATAATTTGGATCAACTGAATCAGGTGTCTGATACACAAGATACAATAGAAAACTTTCCATTAAGACAAATGATACTTGGTCGAGCATCTTCAAATCATACATCGAATACACATAACAAACGTCCTCAACTATGGATCGGTGAAAAGAAAAATTTAATTGTATCCTGTCATACATCACCATCAAAACCTGCTACAACAATCCAATGGCATTTAGCTGGTACATTGTTAATTCCAAATTCTGATAGATCACCGGATCATCAAAATTTCATCAGTCATCATTATACACTGAAAGAACAAATTATCAATGTTTCCGATAAATCATTGTTATCACGTAAAGATGAATCGATATTGTTTCGTAATGCATCATCAACAACAGCAAGTTTGACTGATGAAGTACAAATGTAAGTAGTAGATTATTGTTGATAGTTTATTGATAATTGACGAAAAGTGATTACTTCCGTTTAAGCTGATTTGACAAGTGAGCAAAGTCTTCTTCTTCAACATCATGGGTGGTAAAGAATATTGTTGAAATTAAGAAGAAAATAGTATACAAATTTTTTAACTATTTAAGATGTTCAAATCATGATAAATTGAATTTTTGTTCAGTCATTTTCATAGCTAATTGTCTGAATATTTTTGCTGTGCTCGATTAAGATGTTAGTTCTTCGAGTGCCAATTAAATATTTATGAAAATATTAGAGAAAACGAGTAGAAAATAGGACAAGATAAATATTTGTTTCTTGGATAAGAAAATTGAGAATTGTCACGTTGAATAGCACAAAAGTCGGAAAAATGTTAAGCACTGAATTCGGTTTACTAGAAATCATTGAATGGTTTGAATTATTTTTTTTCCTGGTTAGCGTTTTTTTGGGAAGTTAGTTTTTGACGGAATGGGGTCGCCAACCCCATGTCTAACCCTCCTCCTTTATCCGGGCTTGGGACCGGCAGTAGCCACGAAGGATCTACTGGTTTAACTGGCGGTCTTACTGGACAGCAGTAGGTCTCAACATACATTAAGGAAAAAGCAAAATTCTCCGATGCAACACAACATGCGTCAACCAAATCACACTTGATGGAGATCTCTTGGAAGACGTTAACACCTTTGCAAATCTGGGCAGCATCATCAACAATCAAGGCGGATCTAATGCAGATGTGAGGGCGCGGATCGGCAAAGCAAGGGCTGCATTTCTACAATTGAAAAATATCTGGAACTCCAAACAACTTTCAACCAAAACCAAAATCAGGATTTCCAATACAAATGTCAAGACAGTTCTACTGTATGGAGCAGAAACTTGGAGAACTACCAAAGCCATCATCCATAAGATACAAGTGTGTTTATGAACAGTTGTCTACGCAAAATACTTCGTATTCGTTGGCCAGACACCATTAGCAACAACGTACTGTGGAAGAGAACAAACCAGATTGCAGTGGATGAGGAAATCAGGAAGGAGCGGTGGAAGTGGATAGGACATACATTGTGGAAAGCACCCAACTGCGTCATGAGACAAGCCCTCACATGGAACCCTCAAAATAAAAGGAAAAGAGGAAGGCCAAGGGACACATTACGCCAAGAAATAGAGAAAGATATGAGAGTACTAAACAAACATTGGACAGAACTGGAGAGGGAAGCCCAGTACAGAGTTGTCTGGAGGGAACTGGTGGCTGGCCTATGCTCCATATATACTGTTTAAACACGAAAACTGAACAGAATTTCTATCTTAATATATGGAACCATTTTTTTCTATCTAAGTAGATTAGTGTTAGTCTTAACGACCTGGGAGCATGACCACAGAGCCCAAGGGACAACTGCTTGAGGCCGGTCACACACGGCTTTTTAATGGGTAATATTTAAAGTATTAGCTCCGTTCTTGTTTATTAAAAGGCCTTACCGCCCGAGACGGAAATCCGCGAAGTAAGGTGAGGTGTGACATTTTTGGAGTAGAACTTTTATAACTCCTTCTTCCCTTGTGAGAAGGCAGCATCGCTACAGATGCTGGTTGTCCAAGGGAAACACCTTACTGCTGTCACACCTCTCTGCAGTCAGCAGTACAACTTCGCCCTCAGACCTCGTTTCCCAATCGACCTGCCTGGCATTGTAGAACTTCTAGAAACATATTATGTTCCAGCCAACATGACTAGGTTGGGTCATCACGATAGGCAAGCCCGACCACCACGTCAATGTAACAGCTACGGTCGGGCTATACCTCTAGACCTGATTGTTTATGAAAGTAATATTTCGTGTATGATTACAAATACATTTTTCAGAAATATACTATTCAACCACGAATACTGCACAGAATTTCTATCCTAAGATAAGGGACCAGTTTTTTTGTTAATCCTCAATCTGTCATTGTTGATGTGACACTTAAAATGTGTTAGGTCAAGGTCAGATGCTTCAGTCATTCGAGTTATATTAGTTATGGTTGTTAACGAATTTATGTTTAGTAACAAGAAAACATAAAACGGTTTGTCAAAATTACTTACACTTTTATTCTACAATAAAATGGAGGTCCTGTCAAAACATTTTCCATGAAACATACAAATGATTAACACAGAGTGATTAGAAGACATACATTGACTAGGTTGATGTACTTAACAGATATGCCTTTCATTAGGAAAGAATGTAACAGTTATCATTATTTTTAAAGCATTAACTGTGCTGTATTCGTCCGGTTTATTGCATTGATTATGTGCTCTCCATATAGAGTGACCGTTCTCTACAGATTTTAAATACACTCTGGAAAAGAGTTTTGAAGTTAGCTAGACACTTGTTTGGGATTAAAATCCAGCTGTCTAACATAAAAACAGAATTACCATCATCTAGCCAATTGGACAGGTCTTGTTAACCTTGAGAATCAATTCAAACAATTTGATTATTACTAATCAGTTAGCTCAAATACCTAAATCATACAGAATGTTCATTGCTGACATATTACAATGGACAGTATTAATCTTCATTAATAATTTTAAACTTATTGCATCTAGTAACTCAATTTGTTTTTTTACAAAAATTCTTTTTAACTGAAAGGCAAATAACTCAAAGTCAATTGACATTGTTAGTTGAACGAAAATATCAACATTGGCAATTGGAATGTAGCGTTAGTAATTCAGAAGATTTTGTCCCAGCAAAATTACCAACTGTTACGGTGACCATTGAACCAATGTGTAAGAATTATTTTTTTTTTATCATGTTTTTAGTGAGAACATTTTCTATAGTTCATTATAAGTTACATTGTAATTTCAGCTTTTGGTTGGTTAGCGTTTAGCCTGGAGGTACCTGTTATGTTTGTCACTAAGTATGCTTGAGGCTACTATTACGAGTTTACCTTAGTCGATAAATGCGAACGAGACAATGATCCAGCGTCCAGATAGACTAACTTGTATCCCAAGCTGAAGTAAAAAGGCTTTTTAAGCGTAGAAAGTGTATGCTACAAACACCCAGCAATCACAGTACAATCAAGCATACAACTCTCGTTTATTTATACATCATAGAAACGTCCTTGGGACAGTTAAGAAAATATCACATTAAAATACACATCAGTCAATCACAACCATGGACGTTCTTGGTGGGAAATGAAATCTCAAGGTCAACTGATCAGCCCATCCTGGCAAACGTGAAAACCTAAATAAGGCATTCATCAAGCGAGATTTGGGGATCTAACATCCCTAACAGTACCGTGTGTGCTGGAGGGGGTGTGTTACGAGCAACGTGTGAGGTTATCTGGAAGAAGAAAGAACAAGAGAAAAAGATGATCTGACGACTCAGTAAGCACATGGAATACACTCACATGCAATAGACGAATAAATAGACAGCAACCAGAAATCAAACCAGCATGAGATGATGACAAACTGATAAACGAAACTAGGAGTTGATAGAGTAATAAAGTTTCGAACATGATGCACTGTTACAGTTAGATAGTTGGAAACATATATTAGTCTTAAAACTATCAAATAATATATCAACAGAACTAGAATAGGATTGTTTCTGTCAATAGAAGTTCAAAAGAAAAGAAAATGATATTAGTTTGAACGTCAATGAATACAAACTCTTTGATACAACTGTCTTGTTTACGCTGAACCAACCTGTATGAACTTACCGACAGAAAGTTTTATATCTGGTATCAGTTTGACTACTAAAATCAACGCGCGACAGAATCTACAAAAAGAATTGAACAGTCCCTTCTAGGCTCATAAATATCTATGACTATAAAATTGCAAACAAAAAAGTACACACCGACCAGAATTCTCTAACCTACACTTTCCTGGTTCTTCCTTCCTAGTTCTGTCTAACTGTTGTTCATTCTTCTGATATGTATGTCTCCTTTCCTTGGCGTAACGTGTTTCTTGGCCTTCCTCTTTCCCATTGGCCTTGAGAATTCCAGGTGATGGCTTGTCTTGAAATGCAGTTGTATACTTTCCTCAGTATGTGTTCCATCTACTTCCAGCGCTTCTTCTTAATTTCTTCTTCCACCTGGAGCTCATCTGAGGTTACTAACGGTCCAAAGCCAAGATTTGGGAGGAGGGTTACGTCGCCGTCTTGTAGAAAAAGAACTCGCTAAAAATACGCTGGACTTACCTTAACATTCTTGAATTAATTTTCTCCAGATTATATTGTTTTTTTCACAGCTTTAGTTTAAATTTAACCTTATTAGCTGATTCAACCTTTGTTTAATTTGACAAGTATGTTTGATCAAATTGTTTGAAATCAGGATCGTAAACAACATTTTCCAGATGAAATTTATCTTCTGACCATATATTATTGAAATTCATTAAAATGACTTATGGTTTTTATTTATTTAAGTAGACATAATTTAGAATAGGATATCATATATTTCTATTTTTTTGTTACTCTTATCTAGACATAGAAAATGTTAAGATACGAATCGTCAATGAAACAGAACATATTTATTTACAAGAAGGTCAATTAGTGCATTTTGAATGTATGGCAAGAACAAATCCTACAACACCAATTTACAGGTAAGTAAATATTATGACTTTTTTTCGTTTTGTTTTAATGTATGACTGTTTTACATGAATATTTAATAACACGATTTTTGTATAAATTTGGAATTAAAGCATAAGTTTAGTTTGTAACGAAACTAGCTGATTTCATTGAGAAGACTTTTCTTGTTAAATACTAGTGACTTACATATCAGTCGTGCATATGTAGTTGCAATGAATTTATGAGTTTTTCAGACAAAGTTTAGAATTAGAAACTGTTTGTCTATTGGTACATGCATTACGGGGTTGTTGTGAAGATTGTTAAGTTATACATTTTTGAAACCATGAATGGATCAATGTTAGACCACCATTAGTAACCTGGAAGCAGTGGACAGCCGTTTCGTCCTGGTATGGGACTCCTCAAAAAAGAACTTAACAATCTTCACAACAACCCCGTAATACAAATTACCTGTGCTCACGAGTGACTAGCTTCGTGTGGAATCTACTCCAAGTTCTAGTGGGTAGACGTGACCAGTGAAGTTCAACCTGTTCGGGTGTAGACAGTAACTACTGAACACTGTGTATGAGGTTGCGAAACTCGGTGAATTGACCAAGTTAGACATTAACACTGTTAGAAACCGGCTCAGTGGTCCGATGGTTAGGCGTTCGCCTACAATGCCGAAGGTGCTGGGTTCGTATCCTGCGAGGTGCAGGACTCGTGGATGCGCACTGTCATTGATGAGTCCCATACCAGAACGAAACGGCCGTCCAGTACTTCCAAGTTCCATGTCGGAGTCATAAAATCTTTACAAATTAAACAGAAATCTTGTAAAAACACGTGATAAATAATCATGTATTATTAGTGAACCTTTTGGTTCAAACATCCATTTTCTCGATATCCAGATGTGTTTGATTTCTTAGTATATTCTGGTTTTTCATCGGAAACTGTGGATATTCGTTTTCATAGAAATTTGTTGATAAGTGATTAAAATTACAGGATTTAGCAAAGCGTCGGTTGCATTAATTTAATTTTTAGTATAGGGAGATTAAGGATTTTAGAGACCTTTGAAATTTTATAGTTTACATGAAAAACTCACCATAGAATTGATTGGACTCAACAATGTGAACTGTTACATATATATATATATATATATATATATCAGTTACAAGTTACACGCTAAAAATGAGCCCTGAGGACAGTGGCTTCAGCCAAGAGCTAGGTCGTGTATGCTCACTGTCATGGAAACGTTTATGTTATTGCAAAGCAACTATCTAGTGATTTCTTGTTTTTTTAGTGCATGATCAACTGAAATCATTTTGTTGTATGTACACAAAAAACAAACTGATTTTTAATGCCTCAATGGTATAAACTGCTGATAACTTTTAACATGTTTCGTAAAATCCTAAACTTTCGTGTACGTTTACCTCCGTATGATATCTAACAGTTATATCTTTCCATACTTTTAAACCAAACGAGTTAAGTGACGTTCTGCAAACAAAGTTTGACCGACCTGTATTACTAAAACGGATACAGTATAAAAATTGGTGATTTGGACAGACAAAGTTGTCTGAAAACACAAAAATTATTTTGCCGTAAAATCTGTTTGCACAAACAAACAATTCACTCACAATATAGCTAAAAATTAGATTTCGAAATGGCAACAATTTTAGTTACAATAAGAGTTGTGACATTTACCCAAGACAGTTACTATGAATACACGTCACTTCAGTTCATTCACTGTCTGACTGGATTACAAATCATTTTGAAGTGATAGATACTCATTTGAAATCATCAATCAGTCATTGTTAGACCAACATTAGAAACCTGGATGCACTGAAAGAGGGCCGTTTCGTCCTGGTATGGGACTTATCAGCAGTGTGCATCCACGATTCCTGCTCTTCGCAGGGTTCGAACCCAGACCTTCGGTACTGTGCGCGAACGCCTAACCATCGGACCACTAGGCAGGCAACCAACGGTGTTAATGTCTAACTGCGATCGATTCACGGTCTTGCGCGTAAGAGGGGAGGTCCTGGGTTCGAATCCTGCGAGGTGCAAGAGTCATGGATACGTGTTGCTGATGAATCTCACACCAGGACGAAACGGCCGTCTTTCAGTGCTTCCAGGTTTCTAATGGTGGTCTAACAATGATTGATTGATGATTTCAAATGTGTAAAAACACAAAACCTCGAAAACTCTGCCCAAAAAATAGATACTTAGTTCTCTAAACAAAATGAATTAAAACAAATGAGTCCCATTTAGTCTCACTGATAAGTAGTATATATATAAAACAAAACATTCACTGTTTAATGCATTCTAAAAGATAGGCAAAACGTAGTCGCCTACTTTTTTAGACATTTATTTTGCTCCAAGTAATTTTTTTTTAAATGATTTTCTGATGACTGACTGATTTGCTTTATATATTTCATTTATAAAGTTGGACAATTGGAAATCCAATACCTTCAGTTGACATTGAAACATTCAGTCAATTAATGGATAGTCAATCAGCAGAGTTGAATGATCACATTGATGATAAACATGAACATAGTTTAACTGGTATTCAAATGAATGCAAGCATACTGCAATTAACAGTCAATCGAGCAATGCATCAAAAACGTATTCGTTGTTGGGTTGGTGTAGAAACACCGGAATTGTTAGAGAAAATTACAAATGCTTCATTACACGGTGTATTATTGAATAAAGATTCAACATGTGAATCAGATTGTCGACAATTGAGAAATTCACTGAGAAAAATAGTTAAAGATATGATTTGGGCAAAAGGAGATTATCGTTTAGAAGTAACTTGTGAGTCTTCGTTTTTCTTTGCTTAGTATTGTGGTTGAACAGCTTTGCATTTTCTCGGGCTTCAACTTATATGAGAAGAAAGAATTCTCAACCATTTTTTTTCATTTAATAATTGTATCTTGCAAAAGAAATAAACTTTTCAAATTTTCAAATGTCATGTAAAGCTCCTTACTCTCAAAAAAATACTTCATTTGATGAAATCGTTTAGATCTTAGTGTTTGCTATGAAAAAATAGCTCTGTATGGATTTCTGTGATGTTGTGTTTCTATGATCAGTTCAGGAGACGAAAAAAGTGTTACATAAATTACAGTTATATCTTTGTTTAAATGTTGTCGTTAGGAAACGGTTGCTAGGTAAGGATGGCAGATCAATAGATGAAGTGCTGAAACTTCATCAGTTGAGGTGGTTGGGACATGTGTTACGTATGGCTAACCACTGACTGACTCGACGAGCTATATTTTGTAGTGTTAGAGTAGATTGGAAGAAAGTTGGTGGGTGGCCAGAACAGAACATGGCAAAAATCCATTAAGTCACTGACAAGTGGACTCAGTCATGTTGGTAGATGTAGACTAGCTGGTCGGGGTGCGCGAAACGAAAGTCACCAATGGTTAGAGACCTTGAACGGCGTGGCTCAAAATCGTTTGCATTGGCGCACATGCATCCACTCGTTGTGCTCTCTCAAATCCTAATCTTCTGAATTCGTCAGCACCTCTACCTTTGTCTTTCTAACCTTATCTCACTGAATTATACTTCTTGAATAATATCTTCAAACCCTAGTCTTCTTCATTACCATTAATACCTCTACTATCTTTATCACTATGGGATTCGGTATGACATTTGCATCTCTGTGCTAATGTGGTATGGCAACATGAACTTATGTACATACGTACGTTGCAACTGACTGACTGACTGAGTACCATATAATGAAATATATATTTTATTCAGTCTCCAGAAAAAATTATCTTTCACACTTTGCTTTCAGTATCTTTCTGCATTATGTTTTATGAAAAAAATGTTAATACCTATACATTTTATGACATTTTTAAGTATTCTGAGAATGAGTATTTTCAAATTATAAGTTTGTACAATGCCAAAGTTAACCACTGCTCTATAATTTCAAAGTCAGTCAGTCAGTCAGATGCAACGTAGAACTTCGTACGTAAGTACATCAGTTCATGTCGCCATACCACATCATCACAGAGATATTATTGTCAATTCAAATCCAATAGTAGAAGAGTTAGTAAGGGTATTAGAATTAATCGGAGAGGTTAGGATTAAAAGATATTATTCAAGAAGTATGATTCAGTGAGAAAAGTTTAGAAAGTCAAAAGTAGAGGGGTTGAAGAATTCAGAAGATTAGGATTTGAGAGAACACAAAGAATAAATACAGCAACGCCATTGCAAACGATTTTGAGCCATGTCATTCGAGGTCTCTAATCAACGATTATTATCATCTCGCGGACGCCAACCAGGTAGTCGACAATTACCGACATGCCTAAGTCCACTTGTCTATGACTTCATGAATTTCTGCCATGTTTTTGTCTGGCCGTCACTAACTTTTTTCCAACCTACTCCTAGACTACAAAACGAAGCTCGTCGCGGCTGTCGGTTGTTAGGCATACGCAACACATGTCCCATCCACCTCAACTGATGAAGTTTCATTACTTCATTAAAGATTGTGGAATAAATGTCTAAGTGCAGTGAAATTTAGTGTCCGAACAGTCTCTATAGACTCTTCTTCCTAACCATAGTTACTTAACTACGAGAATCATTCTCATTGAACGTACCAAGAACTATGAAAACGGTTGCTGAATGCAATTTCTATAGTGTGGCAGTCATGACAGACGATATTAGACTAAGGATCTACAGTATTTTTCAGTCTAACAATATTGTAAACTTTTTCAATCAGACATAATGGACGTGGTAGCTCACTTCTAGTAAAATCCCATGTTTCATCCCTAGTGAAATAGATATTGAATACACACTGCTTCTTGCTTATCGTTCTCTAAATTCTTTAATTTACTCTACGATGTAAACTGTCTTTATTTGCATCAAAATTTAATGAATTATGATTATGTTAGATAAAAAACTAACATAAAAAAAATAATTTGATATCATCTCATTCAATCTAAAAAAAAACTAGTCATGATTTGAATTAATCTATCAAAATATTCAAGAAAATCTGAGCATTTGATATCATGACATGATGAGATGAGACATTGTACACAAATTAAAACAGTATAAACTTGGTTGATGATAATTATTATTATTATTTATATTGACTAATAAGTCTGATTTCTTAATCTCTCTCTCTCTCTACATATATATACATATATATCAAATAGAACATTTTAGCTTAAATAAAACATTAATTGTATATATACTTTCAAAATATCATGACAATCAATGACAAGAAATTTCCTTTTCACGTTACTACACCACAATCGGGATTTATGCTTGCGTCATTTATATATGATATACATATATATTTAATGTGGTGTACTATACTATACTATAAATTAACCTGTTTCCCTATCATAGACAACAACAATGTATTACGTGATAATTTCGATTTATACTTTTCTTATTTCAATGAATTTTAGGGAAAGAAAGGAATTTTATACTAAAATTGCATGTCTACTCCTTTTTTTGCCAAGCAAAAATGCATTTTATAAGCAGTGCCATGTCAGAATTCTTTTGAGAAAAAAAATCAGACTAAATAGTCTTATTAGTTGACATTTTTTGCTATAAAGTGCCGTTTTTTTTTCTTTCAACAAGTATTAATTTGATTTCTTTATTCTGTTTTTTTTTTCTAAACGTTGATAGTTTTGACGATTAACCTGTTGTTTGTGTGACGATTGTCTTCCACTGTCTAAAAGCGGAACCATGCTCACATCGTAGATGGTTTCACTCCATTGGTTAGGAGCATTTCATTTGACCTATTGGAATAACTGCATGATAACAGTGTAAACCTATCGGGTTGGATAAATACACCATAGGTTTAACCCACCTACTTTTGATCATCTGTTGATACATACTACTGAATTAGCTGATGAGTGATTATTGGTTTCCAGTAATTGCTGTAGATGGTGTAAATTGATCGATTCATGGTTTCAAAAATGTGTAACTTAACAATATTCATAACAAACCCGTAATGCAAATTATCTGTGCTTACTAGTGACTAGCTTCGTGAGGAATCTTCTCCGAGTTCTAGTGGGAAGACGTGACCAGTGAAGTTCAACCTGTTCGGGTGTAGACAGTAACTACCGAACACTGTGTATGAGGTTGCGCAACTCCGTGAATTGATCAAGTTAGACATTAACACCGTTAGTTACCGGCACTTACAATACCGAAGGTGCTGTGTTCGAATTATGCGGGGTGCAGGAGTCGTGGGTGCGCACTGCTGAGGAGTCGCAAACCAGGACGAAACGGCCGTCTTTCAGTACTTCCAGGTTTCTAATGGTGGTCTAACATTGATCGATTCATGTTTTCAAAAATGTGCAGCTTAACAATCTTCACAACCCCTTAATGTAAATTTTATAAGTAAAGTAATCTTCACAAACTGTGAGTGCTTAAATAAGTCAGCTAACGATTTCTATTCTGCTAATTAGTTTTCTAAGATTCTTCTATTCTTACTTCATTTATCATTGGCATACCGAATCGATCATTGTAAGACCACAATCAGAAACTTGGAAACACTGAACAACCGTTTCGTCCTAATATAGGTAGGATTCATTGACATCATTCATTCATGACGTCAACCCGTAAGAATTGGACCTACGACCTTTGGTCTCCTGCATGAACGCTTAACCTCTAGACCACTGAGATAGTATTCAGTCATGTTACTGTCAAATTTTACTCATTCCTTGAAATATATATATATATATATATATATATATATATATATATTTGTCAAGCAGGGGTAAAATAAATAAAGCTTAAGAATTTGATAGATTTATATTTCCAAGTAGTTAATTGTCTACTATTAATAAAAGCAGTTAAAGTAGTTCAGTTTAAAGTGTAATAAGATATAAAAATAGTGGATAATGGGTCATGAAGAAGTCGACAGCATGGTATTCAGCTTAGTGTTTCAAGAATACTGAAATACTGGAGTTGCTATGAACGGTTAAATCATACAAGCTGGTGTAAATAACTATTTCTTTATGAGATGAAAGAATTAAAAACATACTAATGTGACTTTGCTACTCTTGTGGTGCGCGCTACTTATAAGTAGTATATGACGCGAGTGTAAACGTAATGTCTGGCAGCAGAAGATGGGGGAAGATCAAGAAAGGAAGAGCGGAAACACAATGGGATTTGTATGAAACGCATGAATAGTGAAATGTCAGACAATGGATTGAAGATTTGCAAATTAACGATTTACGATATGGTTTTCCTATTTTACTGAGTAACTCTGTAATTTGCGATAAATACAATTCGGTTGCCCTCACCTGTGTTCTCCTTCACTACACTCTTATTATGCAAAGCTAAAAGAATACACGCAAGACAGACAGTCGCGAATACAGGTTTCGATTGTGCAATGATCTTTATCAACTGCTGAAGTATACTTTACCAGGACAAATCTACCGATCATCACTTCACTGTTTTCAATAGTTATGTAACACTTATATAGGCTTATGATATCTATGAAAAAAACATGTTTTTTTTTGTTACTTCATACACAAAATAACAATTTTTTTTCCTCAAACATTTTCATTTCACTTGATACTTTCATTCATGATAAAAAGTAACTCAATCTCTATGTGACACAATTAATTAGCTTTATTAAAAAAAATTTGAGATGAAACTATATGCATTTTGTTGATTTGTTTGCTCGTCAAATAGGCTAAAATTAAAAACTCTTTTAAAATTCTTTCACCCCAAATGGAAATTTGATTCGTTTTTGATTTGAAAAAAAAATATCTGTTTTCCTTTAGATGTTGTAAATCATTCTAAATCTCAATGACGACTGACATTTCTATTTTGAATTTGGCATTACA